GCGAGCGCCTGGACGTACTCGGAGGGCGAAGCGCCGCAGCCGCGCTGGTGCAGAACTACGCATCGCCAGTTCTGCGCTACGCCCTTGCGCAAGAACTGCCTGTTGATCGAATCGTCTGTCATTCAACTGCCCAAGCACAGGGCACACGCACACGCACACGCACACGCGACGGAGAAGGGACATGCCTGATGTAGCGCGACCGCGAGGAGCCCTGGGTGCCGTGAAGGATGACGCACGTGACCATCGGGTCCTTGGCCGCCACCGTCCAGTCTGTACACCGCCAATCATCGCGCCCGAAGAAAGAGAGTGTGAGCGACGATCGCGGCCGCGGCGCACCACAACAGCAACAGCGAAAGCGAAGAACGAAGAAGAGAAGAAAGAGCACGCGTGCGCGCATACCCACGTAGAGCTCGCCGCCGTCAGCGAGAGGGAAGCACTCGGTCTCGAATTCGATGTCCACTCGCCTTCGGCCAACCACTCCTGTGATGCAAACAGTCAGCTTACACAACACGCCTGCACGCGCGATGGACACGACACACACAACACACAACACACACACACACACAACGCGCGCATGGTGCCCAAAGTGAGAGGCACTGACCCAAGAGTGTCTGGAGGTGGGTGTTGTCGAGGCCGGGCGTGGGCCAGAACTTTTCCTTGAGGATGGGCAGGTCGCGCGCCAGCCGAGCGGCGACGCTGCCCTCGCGCGAGCAGTGGTAGACCTCGGGCTCCTTGCCCACGAAGCAGAGGTAGTACAGCGCGTAGATGGCCACCGCCAGCCCCAACACCACTTCGAGCGCCATCTCTGACTGCAGTCTCTCTTTGCCTTTCTCTGCAAACAAATGAGACTAGAAGATGACATAAATACATCAATCGTGTAAAAGAAGAAAGGGCTATGATAGGAAGGGGCGATCGTACTTGCTTCAATTCAATTGGCCAAGATTGAAGAGAAATCGTCTGAGTCAATCACTTCCTTTCGTAGAAAAAGGAAAGGAGGAAGCTGCAACTGCAAGATGGTTCGATTGATGCTCGCGTGGTTGGTGCTGGGATCGCAAGGTTGGCGCGCAGCAACCAGAGCTTTGCCGGAGAAAGCTGTGGAATGCAATTCTTCGAAGAAAATATGTAAAGAATTCCTCTACTTTCTTTTTCACGAACGAGCCACCCAGGTATGGGGCGCTGCCCCTCAAACACACCAGGCACAGACTATACTGGGCCAAGGCAGCGGACGGGTCCAGCACCCCCCGGCCCCGCCATCCCAGACGCGATCCGATCGGAAACGCTGGTTAAGTGGATGGCCAGGCAGCTGCAATTCAAGGACCAAA